ATCGCGGGCTATGCTATGATAACGAGAGCGACGTAGAGCCTCTGAATATCAGTGTAAGAAGCTGTGGCTGTGACTTTTGTTGTTAAATTATGTATTTGGAAGACCCAAATAATAAAGCAAACCTTCTTTAGATGCTTTCTCTTTGTGTAGGATAATCAGACGTTGGCTTCATATTTTCGTCTTTTTTGCATGCCTCTCAAAAGAAGTGCTTAATGATCGCTGATTTTGGCCACATACTTGATGAACAGGGCTCCAATGGCCTTGTGACGTGTGGTTTTGATGAGAAAAGGTTGCATAGTTATCGCCTTTACCTTACAGACTCCCTGTCTTAAGCTCTCGACAGGCTTATAGATCTGTCGCAATGGTGTGATTATTACGAGGGGCAACTGTCTACTTGATGACACTCTAAGCTCGAGGCTTCGGGAGCCACCACGTATCCAGTCAATTTGAGGCCCAATCACCTGTTCAAAGTTGGCGCTTTGCTATTTTGGGAGGTGAAACGAAGAATGGAAAGCAGAAGTGTGAAAAGCAAATGTGAAATTGGCCTACAGAGTAGCGCCGCGAAACAAGACTCGCTGTCACACTTACGATTTGTCTACCAGGTAGTTAAGACTCTTGAGGGGACGTATGTCTGCAAATCAAGATGCTAGTTGGAAGCCCTGAGCATGGCTGGATGCCCTGCTCACGATATAGAGTTATGTTTCTTACAGGGTTCCCACTTAACTTACCCAAAACTGTCCTGTGCTTACGTGGCTGCCCTCTTCTTTGGTTAAAAAATGGTCCTAATTAACAACCCTCGATCCCGCCAGGAAGAACATTAACCTTCTACGAGGATCTCGCATGAGGTCTCAACTCTTGGTTGGTCAAGTTAACCGGTTGGCAGCCTACACAGCCTACACAGCCGATATTTGCCGGCCAAAGTCTTGTCATGACATATGACAGACAACGCTGGCCATTTAGTTTGCCAGACTGACGGAAGCAGTCAAAGGCTCGAGGATTGCATATAAACCAACCCAATGTGCATCGCGGGGGTCTATCTGACCTTCTCATCCATCTCCACCGGAAATCCTTCCATTTCACACACACTGCATAGCACCATGCCTCTGTCCACGGGCTTCCGAAAACATCTGAGGTGGAGAAGCAGGGAATCTACTCCGACTTTGTCTCAACATTCGCTGCCAGACAGGAGGACATCGGTAGCGAAACGGTCCCAAAGGAAGAAGAAGAATCTTATCGGGCATCCCATTTCTAAGATGGAAATCGGTGCCCCGCGATGGACTTTGACGGACAGCATGACAAATGTTCTGACAGACCAGCGTTTCAGAGGCATTGAAACAGATGAGAGGTTAGAAACCGACCCTATCGTAATGCTGCCCGAGACACAAGAAGCTGCGCAACAATTAAATGAAGGAGCAATGAGAAAGCCGTGCTTCATCGGTTCGGTCAGCCCTGTGGCGTCAACGGAGTCCTATGAATCCATCCCGAGGGGCAAAGATAAAGACGACATTTCACCAGAAAGCCTGCCACGACTTATCCCAAAAGACTCTGTTCGCTTGAGCGCAGAACACGTTCAGAGACTGCCACCACCACCAGATATCACGGTGACGGCAGCAGATAGGACGGAAATAAAGCCGCTGAGTGATGTTCCTGCCTTCGTAACCGCCAACATGAAGAGCAGAAAAGATGATAAATGCATATACCTCATGAGCACGCCGTATACGCTCACGCAACCCTCTTTCCGTCATGGCCCCATTGTTCTTTCCAAAGCTGACGTGGGTAGAGGGATCGAGACTTTGGACGACACATTAGACTGGGAAGCATTCCAGATAGCAATTCAAGGGGGGGTGGGAGATTTCTTCCAAGACATATCAAAAGAACAAGATGAAGAGGAGATGGAGGAGATTATATCATGGTTCGATACGTTTGGCTTTGAGACACACGGGGTGCTGGTAACCGAGGACGTGCCCGAGCTAGAGTTTGAGCCTGGGCCGTCGATGCGACCGTCGTCAGACAGCACTCTCTCGTCAACGCCTTCCACCATCGACATTGATAATAACCTGCCCATCCCAGTGGGTGCCGAGTTCCCTTCCGGGTTCTGGAACGCTCTAGAACCCGGCCAGGCATTTGAAAAAGTTAAATTCTCCAAAAACACAGGACTGAAGCGATGGCTCTGCGAAGGGGGACCCAAACGCCCTTCATTCCACAGCTCGGATGAGAGTCTACCACCGAGTCCGATGATGCCGCTCATGGTTGACGACGAAAGCCCTCTTTCGGATAGAGTACCGATGGGTTGTAACCTAGGCCATGACCTTGGTGACTTTTTGAAGTGGCAGGAGGAAAACATTGTATATGTCTGAGTTTAGTATGCTGCCGCAACGATGATTGCGTTAAAGCAGACGTGAGACGCAATCCACCACGGTGTCCGGAAAC